GAATGATGAATACCCCAATGAAATCCACCATTTTGCTGGGTAAAAATATCTGAAGCACTGGCCTATGTTCACGGGCGTCAGCTGTCGCTTAAAGGCTTTTCCATCACAGGGCTCCTGGAGCGGTGGCTTTACCCATCAACATATGGGATACCCTCTGGTAAACGTTAACAGTTTGCTATTGAAAATGGCCATAGAAATAGTGGATTTTCCCATTAAGTTATATATGTTAGTTTACCAGAGGGTAGATCAATCTGAAATGCAAGGAGAAACACCATTTTTGCGCAGGAAGTGGAAGATTCTGTTCGGTGCCTGGATGTTGAAAAAGAAAAAACCGTCGTATCCGTTGTAGTCCATATCGGCACCCTTAAATTTCAAGCCCTTTTTGGATCGGTTGGCCTCATCCCAAAATACCCTCTGGTAATTTAACAAAAAACTATGGACAGATTCACCATTGTTGATGGGAAAATCCACTATTTCTATGGTGATTTTCAATAGCAAACTGTTAGTTTACCAGAGGGTATATCCCATTAATATCCCATTGAATCACCATAAAATCCCATTAAATCACTATAAATCCCATTAAATCACTATACCAGAGGGTAACCAAAAACTTCAATGACATCACCGACAAAAAGGTGGATTTCTTCCCAGGAAAGCTCTGGTTATTTCGCACCTTGTGACTGGTCACCAACTTGAAATCACGGTCCTGGCAACGACGGTCGGCCATGGGGATATTGCACCTGGGGATATGGGGAATATGGTGGAGATATATGATTTCTGGGAGATGTTTGGAGATATGTTTCACCAACAGTGGGAATATGATTTATGGGAGATGAAAGGAGGGAGATACTGAGATACTCCCGTGTTGTGTCAATTTCGATGGGAAAGGGTGATGAGAAACCATATATTTTTTTTGACAAAGCCATATTATAATCAACATTCATCAACTACTGCCTTGACTGGTAAATATATCCTTTAGATTCATTTAATGTAATGCATATACTTCCTAATCAAGATGGTAGTATCATATGGTAATATGATGCAGTTTTGACATGAATCGCCACGGTTATTGTAATATAGTATCTATCCTGTAGTATGATTCTAAGAAACATCAATATCGAACTGCTTTAACGCGTGTAGAGTCATCCTGTAAAATCTTGTCTGATATCTAGGTCTTCTGCCACCTGTTCACAAGCAACCCTTCCAGTGTTTGTATCCCCATGATTGAGACCTTACAAATATTAGTATATATATATACAATAATTATATATAATTATCTATAATCATCTATAATTATTATATATATACAATATTATACACCAATAAATATACAATATATATATATGCATTATATATATAATGGCATAGTAGAAATGTCGCAATCCCATCAGTGGGTCAAGTCCTCATCCAGCAGAAGCGGTTTCAAATCCACGTCCAGGAAATGCGGCTGGCCGTGTCCTGTGGTGGCAGGCTGCGTTGCTTCGTTGCTTAAAAAAAACAACGGCCAGCTGAAGCACCCTGAAAATTATAAAAATCTGGGATTTATGAAATGTGTGTGTTGAATGATTCAGCACTTAAACATCTTAAACATCTTAACTCATCAGAAATCCCATTGAACAACGGCTATTCATCATCTTCCCATCATCCCGTCCCCTCTCCTTCTTCCCAGCTGCACGTCGAGCCCTGCAGGTGTGTGGGTCACTCTAAAATCCATCCGATTTTACGTGGATGATACGCTTTGGCAAAATTCGGGCACCGAGAAAACACATCAAATTCATGTTTCTTAGGAACTTGTGTCCTTTTTCACAATTTTCCGGGTACTTATATACATGCTATATGTTCAGTGGGGAAGATATCAGATACTCCAACATATTCCAACAGTATAATGTGGCTGCCGAGCAAGCTTCGGTGTTGATTCAACCCGTAAAGACCAAGAGTGAGCAAGGCATCGCAGCAGTGTTCCTGAGAATACGCTGATGGGCCAATACTACTTGTCAATAGCAGTTTAATCATATTAGGGTCTCCAGAAATATGATGATTCCAGACCATGTAATGTATGACACTCCCGAGATTGAACAAACTGGATACTCCTGGGCCAATCTCATCCCTTGGATATCAGGACACCCCTAAAATAAAGTTCAAGATCATGCGTGACCGTCATTCTGAATTTTATTGTATACCCTATGGAGGTTTCGTAAAATGGGGGTACCACTAGTTATCATCCATTTATAGATGAAATTTTCCATTTATTTTGGATACCCCATTTATGGAAACCTCCATATAAATCTACTTCAATAAGTCTGCAATCCTGGGTATAACACCCTGGACCGCCCGACACCTTGGTCTGAACATCCATCTCCTTCGCTGTCCGTTGCCGCAGCAGCGCAAGCTGCGATGGTTACGATCGCTCAGATGATCTACAAACACGCTGCAGAGCCAATAATGCGAAGAGCGTCATCACGTATGGAAAGTAGTATGCATGTTCAGATAGACACAATTAAACGCATATTAGAATATGAACAGTACATCATCTAATGCATATGGTTCGTTGTATGTTCTGTACAAAGTCTGTTTATGCTTACACGGATAAATAATGTAGGAGTACTACTCTGTATTATGTATCAGGGAAACATGATGTCTTCATGTTCTGCAGATGGGTAAATTGTGACTAAAGTGTATGATGTGGGTAAAACAACAATAAACCACCCATTTGGCAATGATTTATACACCCTATTCATGGTGATGACTGGGGGATGGTTTATGGCATTGTTTTACCCACATTACTCATCCATGCAACTTTCGTATGCAGGCGCTGTCTCTGACGTCTCTCAAGCTGGGGAATCCAGTTTTCTCAACGCCATCTTTGGATTCGATGGTATATTTAGGTGTAACATCTATCAACGATGTAGATCAAATGTGATGAAATAATTCAACATCAGGATCTATCATCATCTATCAATCATCGGGGTAAAGAAAAAAAACATTTTTCACTATGGTAAACTCACAGTTTGCTACAGAAAATGATCCAGAAAAGGATCCAGAAAATGATCCAGAAAATGATCCAGAAAATGATCCACCGAGATGGTGATTCAAAAACGACCCACCAGAGGGCCACTCTTTTTTAATAACCTTGTTAGAAAGAATCTTAGAAAGATCAACATAGATCAACCATTGAATGAAAATATATGTTTTTTTTTTGGATACCCTATTTTGAGACAAATCCATGTTATAAAATGGTAGCTGTAGATGGTCATGATTGGTCGTTATTTTAGTTTGGACCGATCTGTAGATATGGGAAGTTATAAGCAATCAGCAACTCATGCACATCCAAGTCAAACAAAGCTGCAATGTACTCTCCAAGCCAGTCATTTTGTTCTCAAACACCTGCCGAATCATCGCTCCAGCTTGGGTCAGCGGGTCTGCGGGTGCACTCCCTTGGAATGTGGTGGATGGCATGATGGCACCTTTGCCATTGACATCTCAAACGTTTTTTTACGAAAAAAAAATACTTTACTTCGTGTGATCCCCACCATGACATTTATACATTTTCTTACTGGCAAATCTTCTGGCATTCTATCTGACATATCTTCTGACATTCTATTTGGCATTCTATCTGGCATATCTTCTGGCATATGATGGCATATCTTCTGGCATATCTTCTGGCATTCTATCTGGCAAATCTTCTGGCATTCTATCTGGCATATCTTCTGGCACTCTATCTGACATATCTTCTGGCATTCTATCTGGCATATCTTCTGGCATATATTCTGACATATCTTCTGGCATTCTATCTGACATATCTTCTGGCATATATTCTGACATATCTGGCATATCTTCTGGCATATCTTCTGGCATATCTATCTGGCATATCTTCTGGCATATTTTCTGGCATTCTATCTGGCAAATCTTCTGGCATTCTATCTGGCATATCTTCTGGCATATCTGGCATTCTATCTGGCATATCTTCTGGCATATCTTCTGGCACTCATTCTTTCTGACATTCTTTCTAACTTTCTTCTGCACATTCTTTGTCCCATATCTTCCTACATGAGGTCCGGCAGGGAACGCTTGGCGTGGATACTCGCGGTTGAGGTCCGGCAGGGAACACTGGGCGTGGATGGTCGTGGTTGAGGTCCGGCAGGGAACACTGGGCGGGGATGTCGTGGTTGAGGTCCGGCAGGGAACACTGGGCGCGGATGGTCGTGGTTGAGGTCCGGCAGGGAACACTGGGCGTGGGTGGTCGTGGTTGAGGTCCGGCAGAGAACACTGTGGATCGCGGGTCGCAGTTGAGCAAGGACGACAAGGATGACAAGGAGGACGAGGAGGAGGAGGACGAGGCAGGAGGAGGCGGAGGAGGAGGAGGAGCAGGAGGAGGAGGGGGAGCAGGAGGAGCAGGAGGAGGAGGCAACTGACATAAAATCTAACAACCCTCACCTGGCAGGTGGGGAAAAACATCCCTCGATATATATTTGCCTGCTGCCTGATCTTCTTTATCATGTGTATAGCTTTGGGAAAGTGGGATATGCAGTGAACAAAGTGGCGGAGAAAATGACTTGCTACTTGCAATGGACATGGCCAAAGTGGCTGGTCCCCTATCGGTTGTGAAGTCCACTCCCTACTGTCTTTAGCCAATTTTGTTGGTTACTGAGCTGAGGTTTGAAGCTTGCAACAGGTGCTTCAGTGATTTCTGAGAGGAATTCAAGATTGCTTCCGAGGCTAAGCAAGCGGAAAGTTATGCAAATTGGTTGTTTCATATCCTATGACAGACCAGCAACACATCAACACACATTCCTTGGGACATCCGTGATTTCTCAGTCTGTCACTGAGGTACGCCTGCAGTGAAACCAGCATCGTAAGCTGAGTGAAACTGCGCTGAAGACGCTCTCTCCTCGCCCCTGGAATTGTGTTCGAATTGCAAGTTACGGTGACTTGGGTAAAGACATGGACAACATGCACATTGGCACAGCATTTTCAGGAAAATCATAATATGTAGGTCCAACAAAACGTCAAATGATCTGAATTCACATCCCCAAGAGCATCCCACTGCTTCCCACAGTGACACCGGCCTCAATCCCTGGCGAGACTGAAAAAGCTCTGGAGGATTGAGGTACCTGGTTACCTATTCGGGGTTTTTTTGAGTGGTGGGATGCAACTGTTGATTTTTTCAACAGAAACCATCTGATTGTCTGATCAGCCAACCTGAGGGAAGCGAACAAAAGTTTGGACCTCCGTCACTGATCGCTGAGCAAATGTGACCAGATTCAAAAAGAGACGTTCAAGGCTTCCCCACTTGTTCCCCACTTGTTTCCCCACTTCAATCAATTTTGGTTTCGAGGATCTTACTTTTATCAGTAGAGTTGGCACCTATCCTTTGTCACTAGAGAAGCTACAAACATAAAAACGCTGAAAACCAAGGATAAGCCGTTAGGATTCAAAACATTTCCACTGTCATTATATATCATCATATCATCATCATACATACATATTATATATATATATTTGTATAGTATATATATATATAACATAGTATATATATACATATTACCTATAGTGTGTATATATATATGGTGATTGCCATTGATGTCACTACAATCATCAGAAATATCAACACATCGTTGATGACAAACGCCGCTCTGCCTGGCGGCAAAGCGGCATCACTGGACCATCGAAGCAGAACCGCAGGACTGGCAGCGCAGGAAACTTAAGGATTTCACCAATGAAGATCACTGATCAATGAGGATAAGGTGATCTCCTTAAGTGATCTTCATCTTTAAATCAAATTGATCAAATTGAACCAACAAAAAATATGAATCAATTTGATAAAATAAAAATGGGCAAAACAAAACCTAAAAAACTTGGTGAGTTCTCCTTGCTAACCATCGCTATATCAAAAACATATCCCCACTGGATGGTGGACTATTCCTGGACAGTCGGACAACTATTTGCAACTCGAATATAACTTATAACCAACAGTACCATTCGGTTGTACACATGAATTGTCGGTTACACAAGATTGATACACCAATTACTAATTGTAGCAATATAGAATCAAGATTGATATGGAATAAACTATTCATATATTGATTGGAAGTATACTTTGACTCGATTGATCCAATTGTGTCAAGCTACACATGCTTTTTGCAGCAATGGAATGAAAACAAACAGACCAACTTTTCGTTACATGGGGATCCCAAGGCAGCAACAAAAATCCTGTAAGGTGCACATTCAACTGACCACATATTATCAGAGTAGATAAACATGAAGATAAACATATATCATATATATATATAACTAACATAAATATACATAACATTTATATAACATATATATCTGGGTAAATTATAATATTTCACTAACCTGAATTAAGGCCATTTGGGGATGATTTCCCGTATTAACCATGATTCCAGTGAGGGAGAACAGTGAGGTTGTTGGAATTTACCCATATATATATATATATATAACCATGTTTTCTTGAGAAACACAATGCGTTCCCCCCAAAAATGGAACGCCAGTGATGCCACAGAGCTATAGAGCGCTCGGGGATAGACACCTCAGCATCTCTGTGGCCCTGAAAACCATAACCATGGGAAAACCATGGGAAAACCATGGGAAAACCATGGGAAAATGGGAAAACCATGGAAAAACCATGGGAAAACCATAGAAATGATAAAAAACATAGAGAAAATGTGGGAAAACCATGGGAAAACCGCATTTTCAGCAGCCATATGATCTATTATGATCCCATATGGCTGCCAGGCTAGAACATGACCGAATTGCGCATGTGCAAAACGTTGCACACAATTGGATTGACCTTTAGCCAAAGCCAACAGATTTCACAGCTCGTCCCGTGGTTCAAAAACTGGTCAAGAACAGAATTGCAACATCCCATTCATGAATTATATTGGATTATAATCCATTGATCCATTATTAAAATATGATAGATTCTATGATTATAATTTATAATTTATAATCCCATTGGGTATAATCTTGGTGATTATAATGCTTCATGAATTATGATCATCCCGTTCCGTGCCATGTTTGGATCATGCTAGAGATAACCAATAGAAATCATCGCTAACCTGAGATCCCACAAAATTCAGCAAATTTCTAGTTAGGCAACAAGCAAAGCCCTTGTTGATTAGTTGTTAGCTATCATAGGGAGCGATGCTGGCAGAATTTGTCGCTTGTTAGCTGGATATATCGAACAATTCCCCTTGCCAGAAAAAAGTGGCAAACTAGATCATATTATTGGATCTAGGATCTTAATTAGATATCTTGAAAGGTGGGTGCCCTTAGCTATAAGTTGGCATATAAACCCAGTGAACCATACTTATAATTATTATACTTGCAATCGTTGCCCTAGTGACATTGGTAGTCAAATTGGAGTGATTTCTTTGAACAAAAAGCTGTCAGCTGCTATCGTTTTTTCGGGTTTAACAACGGGCCACCAGCATTTTCCCATAGAAATAGTGGGATTTCCTCCCGAGCGCCCCGTTTGACAGGCCAGGGCCATCAGCCCAGTTGCTATTCTTCCAGGGAGCTGCACAATGATTCGCAGGCCTCCACCTGACGACGGCGACGTCAAGATCGGGAAGTAACCAACAGTTGGGGAAACTGACGATGTTCAATCAATTCATAGTCCATACTAGAGTCCATACTAGAGTCCATACCATACTGTTGTTTGAGTCGTTCTTTTGGCTGGTAGTTGAACTATCCACACCAACGGGGACGCAATGAAGATGTACCAACGGGAAATTGCTGCCATCTTTGAAACAACATTCCGTCTGATCAAGGACCAACTCAAAAAATATTGACCACCGGGGAATCACCTTCCCAAACAGGGATATAAGTACGTGAAACCGTTCAATTCAAAACGTGTTGAAACCACAAATCAAGTGGTAATTCTTTCTGGTTGGTGGTTTCAACCTCACTGAAACTATTTATTGGAGATCAACATCCAATTTCTAAGTGCTGAAAAAAAAACAATAATTGAAACATTTTGAAACCAACCAAATCATCGTTGCTTCTGGTTACCCATGATCTTATATCCCTACGATATTCTCGTTTTAGATGGCTAGATCCACCAACGAGTCTTCACATCCAGTGTGCAACATGACGGGGCAATCAGCGCTTCGGCTTCATCAGAGCACAGGGACCCGAGCATATCCCAGTTGCTACTGGCCGCATCTCTCGCATTGCAACTGCGTTCGTTGAAGGAGTACCTGAGGATGCTACGAAACCCATGAACTAATTTTCTAAGGACAGCATCAAGTTGGGGATGGGCCAAAATGAATGAAAGACCCATTGGGACATATTGGGACTACAGTGTTTGATCATGTTTGATCATATTACAGAACTAGTATTGATCAGTCAGTTTTGTTGGTACCCAATGGTACCCGTCCTATCCAATTATCACAGTGGACCAACAAACTAACTCACAACAGTAGTAGGGTTCAATCGCGCAATGCATGGACAACAGCGGTTTTAAGCAACAAACTGTGACAGAATGTGTGTCTTCATGAAATTGTGGAGGCTCAATATTGGTATGTGCATATGATATCATATGTGAACAACGTTATATTAAACATATTTATGAAGATATTTAAAGATTATATATAAACATGTATAACATATATCTAAAAACATATATAGCATATCTATAAACATCTATAAACATATAGACATATAATATTATATAAACAACATTTCCGGGTTGTGTGCGTGCATACCCCTTCAAAAACTTCGAAGGATCCTTGGAGTGGGGCAAGGTCTCATCCAGGTCTGATATGGCCACATCAATGTATACAATTGATACCAATTCATGTCTAGATTAGAGCTCATAATTGGTTCTTAACCTTTGTAGTTGGATATATCATTTATGGGGAAGGGACTCTATCTATCTATCTATCTATCTATCCATCCATCCATCCATCTATCCATCCATCCATCCATCCATCCATCCATCCATCCATCCATCCATCCATCCATCCATCCATCCACACACACACACCAGATTGGGCTTCGCACTTGGTGCCCGCATCCGTCAAGCGCCACACCTGCCACTGGTGAATGCGCTGGGGCACCGTTTCTTGGTGTGTACAACCCACCGTTATGTCTTGGAACATCATCGAGAAAAAAAGTGGGTTTTCCACTAATCTGCGTATTGTATGTATAAAAGAAGGAGAGTCATGAAAACCAACTTCTGAACATAACCAAAGGTTATAAAACATCAGAACTGGTGGATGTTATGGCCATCAACCAATGGTTAACTTCTTGTTTGGGGCCCACTTAGGAGCTGCATTCGTGCAAATACCCCGGAGGAAACCACAATTGATAATAGTGTTTGTGATTGAACATAATAAAAACAATCAACAGTCTACATTATCTAAACAGTCTACATTGGGAAACAAACGTTGAATGGTCTCACATTGGTTTGTTCCAACAGAATTCACGCCATGGGGTTCTTAGCCCAAGGAAAACGCCATGGGATTTATCACAATCAACTCTTATAGATGGATTTTATTAACAGGGGATTGACCAACAGAAATTCAAATGATGGAATTGGGGCTTGTCACAAAACTGGATACCCCGAGAAAAAACCACGACAAGAAAAAAATGACTTAGCATCATGTTCCCTATGAAAAAATATTGAAATGTCGATTGGATTGTGGTAAAACCAGATCTTGATTGATTCACCTGGAAGGCTGGCCGAACCAGGAAGCATCCAACACCAGGATTCCAAAGTTCAGTGCCAACTCCTTGGGTTTCAGCTGCCCAAAACACCATCAAATCCCTGGTGAAGAACCATGATGCCATGGCTGCCATCGGATCAAGTTTCCCATCGTCCGATGTCAGTTTTCCAAGACATCAACATCTCCCCACCAGAACCTATGACTGTAACAACTACACTGCCCCATGTTGCCATGTTCAGGTTGTTGCAACTACATCTACCACCGTTCTCTCGGGCCGAAAAAGGATCCAGTGGACTATGTACACCTCATCCCTGGCCACTACAACCCCCCTTTGTTGGGGGTTTTGTGCACTGGTAGATCCATGTAGTCATCCAAATATCCCTTGGCCATAATTCCCCTGTGAGATGAATGGCATCCTGTTTCTTGTTGAAACAGGATCTTTTGTTTGCCAGAAAACAATCAATTTGATTTTGAAGTCAACTATCTAATGTCTAACTGATCATAGAAATCCCAACTTCACCATGTCGCCTTGTCCGGCTTCGGTCGCGGTAAGCGCTGATTCAAGGGTCGATGGATGTGGAAAGCATCCTCCGCCCTTGGAATGTGAAGGCTGGGGGGAGTGTTTAGTTTAACCAAGTTGGGATTAATGGGATATATGGGATTAATAGTGGATTAATGGGATTAAAAGCGTGGATTCATGAGCTTAGTTTAAGCAACTTGGTCTCTTTTTCGGGGGTGAAACATCTTGAAACACATGTAGAATGTACACAGGGGTCACCAAAACAATACCCAGAAGTGTTTCTAGGATCTTAGTTTGACATTTCCACCAGAGTTTCTAGCTTTCCAACTCTTTCCATTTGGGGCAAAAAAAATTGGGGTATTCCCGGGGTCATCCCACCATCCGCACGGGATGACAATCCCAGGTCCAGGGCGCATGGCAAGGGACTATGTGACGACGGGGTCGTCCAAAAAACATGGGGAAATCTATGTGGAAATTTATGGAAGTATGGGAAATATATATGGGAAATATATGGGAAATCAATATATGGACATTTTGGCGATAGAAATGACTTAGAAATGCGAAGACTTCTGACAGAAATAGGCTTCCTGGCAATATTGGCTACTAGCACAGTACACAAGTTCCCTAGCAACAAATTCAGACGACTCAACGACACATGTTTGTCAGTTCTACTTATAATGGTTTTCAGAACAAACAGAAACTGTTGTTAAACAACCCGCCGGGTTGGAAATGGGCCGAGTAAAAACAGCATTTTCATGTGACTGGCAAGAAGTCAATCATGCGTTTCGCAGTGTTTTTTCATGTTTTTATGTTGTCCATGAAGGTCAATTCTATTGTGATTTTGAATTTTCATTGGGATTTACTGTATATAGTTGACATGTCGGAGTGCGAAAAAGGTTCCTTTTGGGAAGTCAGCGTGCCCAAAACCTCAGCGGCAGCCATTTTTTCCGGTGATCTCTACATTTTCGCTAAGTACGCACCTGTTTTCTCCAACAGGGCTTTTCCAACTACATTTGCCTCCCATCGCCACTGCCATGTGCGAACGTACGTCCAAATGAGGTCATTCAATTTTTGTTCAACTGATCGGGAACACTGGCAAGTACGTGAACGTTATTACCCCGCCCCACCCCACCCCACCCCTGCGTGACGTGACACGTCTTCAACGTAGCATGACGTATGTGCGCACGTGCAAGTGAACGTGCCGTGGCGGAACATCATGGGAGTGCGCAAGTACGTGAACGTTATTGCCCCACCCCACCCCTGCGTGACGTGACACATCTTCAACGTAGCATGACGTATGTGCGCACGTGCAAGTGAACCTGCCGTGGCGTAACATCATGGGAGTGCGCAAGTACGTGAACGTTATTACCCCACCCCACCCCAAGGAACAGATATAAAAATGCCTAAAACGCTCGGACGGTTTTCAACCCGTAGGCTCAAACAACTCATATGGCAGTGTGTCAAAACCTTGTACCCCTGGTGAACATCAAAATAGCTGGTAAATGGATGTTCATCCCCCTAAAAATGGTATGTATAGGTATTGATCCATAGCCATATCATCTCAATCATCTCATATCATCTCATATCTTGATAATCAATACTCATTGCACTCATATCTTGACGGCGAGGCGAGACTGAGCTTTTGGCCAAACGGATCGCTCCTGCAACGGACTTACTGAAGGTGGCCTGGTTGTTGCCATTTTTTATCACATCAAAATAACTGGAAAATTGATGTTCATCCATTCATCCACCCAAATACAGAGTATTTTATAGGTTTTGACCATCCACATATGTTGAGTGCCACCAAAATGCCTGTAACAGCCAGTAACGGGTTTTAAGCTGCTTAGAAAAATATACGTGACTAATATGGCTCAAACAGGGAGGTTTTTACCCACGGACAGGCTGGTTCAACTCCCAAAGTTTCGCTCAGTCCTGATAGGCCTGGAGACTGCTCAACTTGACGTTAGGATTCTCCCACCTACCGAGGCAGCCACTGCCCCCTGCCGGGGGACCGATTCCCACATGGCTAAGCCCAGTAGTCTCCAAGCGGTAAACCAAACAAATGGATACACATGTCATGAACCCAGCGCATGTCACCCATAGAATCTGAATATATACATGACCCTCTGGTAAATTTACAGTTCGACCCTGAAAATAACCCATGTTTAGTGGAAAATAATCTTCCAACCCCTATCTACCAGGGCCTATGTTAATTTACTGGAGAGTATATATTATATATGAGAGTATATTATACAGCTATATATATATACTTGGTCTGTTGACATATTAAACACATATGGTTCAAACACTGCAGCAACCAAGCTAAATCTCCATAGACCTTTGCGAATGACTTTATCACAATATGATCATATGTTGTTAAGCAATCCTATATGAACCATATCACGCATTGTTGCTTGTACAGTACATCCGATTATATCTCAGTAGACAAAATAAAGTAGTTCTAACATTTATATTAATCTGCCTGTGATATCCCCACATCATCCCATCATTAATGTACCATGAATATACCACTCAAATCAATATCTGGTTCATATTCCATGTGTACATCTACACACACACATATATATATATATACACGTATATAGTCAACCCTGATGTAGCTGAAATATGTATGGTAGGAAAACAATCACTAGAATGGACATATCTTTGAACAAACCATATTCTCTGTACTTCATGAGGATTATATTGTCTATATGATGTCTGGGGTACCCCTAAACTCCATGTTTTATGCATGTTCCGCATTAAACATGCCATTTTGGTGTATCCACTATTTTCAAACAAAGCCACAATGATGGAGGCAACAGCTGAAATTCAATCCCAATTTTCGTCCTGTGGTCCATTGGTATCCAATTGTCATATGATTCATATCCCATTCAAGTTTTAATACATCGCCGAAACAAAAAACTATATAATCAAAATTAAACTGTCATATCCCATTCAAACCCTCAATCTATTATAAAAACCTATTTAAAAAAAAACAATCAACAACTCCAAAACCCTCATATGTCATCCAAGAAAAACAACAACTCCTCCATTTATCCCAGAAAAAGTCCCCGCAGCGGCCGCACACCTCACAGGGGGTGCCTTATACTCGCTCCAGGCGATGTCGTGGGGCCAAAGCCCAGGACGACCAGGAGGGCACAAAGGCCTTGGGGGATAACAGCGGGGCCCGGCTGGGTTTGAACACGTGATGGCCATGAGGAAACCTCTGATAAAAACCCATAACTGTGCCATAACTGTAGTTTTTGTGATTTTTTTTGGTATAGGTGAATCATCTATCAACGGGCCAAACAACAACAACAACAACAACAAGTACAAAATGTATTCTCCAATCCCTCCTGACACGCAGAGTTTTTTGCGAAACAAAAACAGTAATTATAAGATATTATAAGACTTTGGAGGCAACACGGATCCACCAGAAATCATGATCAAACCACGGCCAAGCAAAAAAGGCACATAGATTTCAAACAATCAAGCAACATTAAAACACTTCCAGTACTCAAATCAACATTGTCACATAGTGAAACATCATTTGGGAGATTCAAATGATAGCATGGATATTAAGCCTATATATATATAACATGTGAAGCCTTGCCTGATAGATATGAATGAATCCTCAACCAGGATGTTTTTCTTTTTTACCAGACCAAGAATCCAAATGATATTAAGGGTTGAGATACAACCGATCAAAGTCAATCACGAACCAGAGTGAGAACAGGAAAAGGTTGAGGTCGTCTTTTCTTTTTAACTGTGGATGCTTTCTGCTTTCTATTAATGTCTCTCAATCATCTGGTTCCAACAACGAATATTATGGTTTTTCCACCTGAGCAGTGTTCAAAACCCGCTTGGTGTCATGGAACACGAAACCCCGGTTGGAAAAATTGGGATTCCCAGTGCATGGACTATGTTAATGCCGAATAAAACCAAGTATCATTTATCAATATTATATCAATATTATATATAATTATATATATATATATACATCCATACGTTGATGGATAACCCCCTAAAAGTGACGGTTGAATCCCATGTCACTCCCATACCTGAGCTCCCCAAACGCTCGCTGCAGACCAGGCAAGGACTGCGTCTTGCGCATCGCGGCCTGATGGCCGTTATGGGAATCCAAGGAAGCCTGTTGGGTATGCGGTATGCTATTGACATCCATGCTCCTACGGGATGTAACTGATAAAACAACCACCCAGAAGAAACCAACTCCTGCAGAAGAAACGAACAACTGGTTGCTTTCAGATATAGATAGTTTCAGGTAAATGAGTGACCTACAAATGTAACCCTCCAAAATGAAAGCATGCTTGATTAACGAACCAGCAACACTAAAACGTAGCCAAATATGATAGGAGTACAACACAAATAAAGACTGAAACCATCCATGAACCATCTTAATCATGGTCAATCTTAGATACAGTGCAAATAATTACGTTACTGTTACATATGTTAAATCGGTTAGGTTCATACACTATAAACTGTTCATCCAGTTGGTTTACCCAACCATTGAACCATTATCCTGCAATTACTTAGTTGTACTAAACTAATCGTCCAGTTCACCCAGTAATACAGAACAGCAAAAACAAGAAACCATCACCACAGCCACTGGTGACACCGACCACCCCTTGCTTCGCACCTCAGAGGCTTTAAGCCTCTCAAATCATGGCCAGGCTTGAGCCGGAAGTTTGCGGCAGAGATGTGTTTTTTTTTTGGCTGGGAATGGCACTCTCCAAAACAGGATATGAGAGAACCAAACCACCAGCAACCATTATCATCCATTATCATCAAATATCATCCATTACCATCCATTACCATCCATTATCATCCATTATCATCCATTATCATCAAATATCATCCATTATCGTCCATTACCATCCACTTTCCAATAATTATCCAATAATTATCCAATAATTATCCAATAATTATCCAATAATTATCCAATAATTATCCAATAATTATCCAATAATTACCATCCATTATCCAATAATTATCCAATAATTATCCAATAATTATCCAATAATTATCCAATAATTACTGTATCCACTTTCCAATAATTACGATATCATCCATTATCATCCATTACCATCCATGATCCAATAATTATCCAATAATTATCCAATAATTATCCAATAATTATCCAATAATTATCCAATAATTACCATCCATTATCCAATAATTATCCAATAATTATCCAATAATTATCCAATAATTATCCAATAATTATCCAATAATTACTGTATCCAATAATTATCCAATAATTATCCAATAATTATCCAATAATTATCCAATAATTATCCATCCATTACCATCCATGATCCAATAATTATCCAATAATTATCCAATAATTATCCAATAATTATCCAATAATTATCCATCCATTATCCAATAATTATCCAATAATTATCCAATAATTATCCAATAATTATCCATCCATTATCCAATAATTATCCAATAATTATCCAATAATTACTGTATCCAATAATTACCATCCATTACCATCCATTATCATTCATTACCATCCATGATCCAATAATTATCCAATAATTACGATATTAATCGATATCAGTTATGTTGGGAAAGCGGGAGAAACCACGACACGGCGGAACTACGGCTGTGACAAGGGGCCCACGATCGATCCATCCCCAAATGGCAATGGCAACACTGGGGCTGTTGTTGGAAAGAACTGGTTAAGACAACAGTAACCCTTTAAAAGGTCATTATATAAATGATTGGTTACTGATTGATTATATTAGTTACTAGAACTAATCTGAATAAATATGTTATCAACAATGTTAATAATGGTTATCAAATGTTATCACTATTAATCACAACAGTAACTGGTAAATATATGAATCATATGAACTAATCTGAATGTGATTGGTTTGTGATTAGAATGTGATTTGTACTGTACAATGGTTTACCGCCAACCGCGACAGGTTACCCAGGTCGGGGTTCCAACACATTCACCAACCTTCACTGGCGCCGGGGTATGTCTGAAAATGGGCTATACCCCCAATTATAGCCATATAGCCATTTAGGAGGGATAACGATCATAAAAACCATTGGGGTACACATGGGTACACTATCTTTTTCTATGCCACAATGTCTGTTGCCCCACAGGCAGTTTGTGTGGTGATGTCTCAACTGGCAACTGTGGAGACAGGACCAGAACACCACTGGCTTAAGAAGTGGCAATTGAAACATATTTGAAACTCGGACGCTTTCAGGCCAGCGTCACAGAATGGAACTTTTCAGCAGCGCACATGGCCCATTTGAAGAAACACCCCTAATTAATATATGTGCCATATGCCCAAAAGTCTTGTGGTTCAAATGGATCATATATATATATTATATTATATCATATTATATATATATTATATAAATATATGTATTATATTATATATATATATATATGTTAAAAAGACAAGTCAACTAAGATTAACTAATCATACATCCCAAAAAATCTCCAACGATCATCCGTCAATCACTTGGCTGCTGAAGGCCTGGAACTTTCCAAAGAGGTCGGTCAGACCAACCCGGCTCTCGCCGCTGTCTGTGACGCACTCTGCGGCTGTCTCTGCGACACACTCAGCCCTCAACGCCGCTGTACTCGCGCAGGCGCTTCAAAGAGGCAGCCACACGCTCTTCCTGATGAAACATGCAGGATGGGGCCCCAGTTCATTAGGTAAGTTGGTTTATAACTATAACAATAGTGTATGATACTTATACTTATATCTAGATGGAGTTATAAACCAACAAACATTTCACTGGGGAGCACCATCCTGTGATGAAACATCACGGGGCTTCTGGATTCGATACCTGGAACCCCATTCAGAACCAGAAATGGAGATTACAATCATCGACTTGCGGTACCCTCTGGTAAACATACAAAAAAATATATGGAAAATCACCATTTTTAATGGGTTTTTATCAACTATAAATGGCCATTTTCAATAGCTATGTTTGTTTACCAGAGGGTACATCAAGTGTCTGAATTCTATGGAACTTGTTGAAATTGGGACCCCAATCATCATGGCCCGTCTAGTGGGGATGACTGTGGTTTATTGGGGCATCTTTGGATAGAACACGGTACAACGGTACAACTATCACTTCCCCCCCTTACTAACCAGCTAGTTGACTCCACCCATCCAAGTCTCTAACCGCAAAAACAAGTGCCTCACCCGTTTCATTGATTTTTATTGCATAGCTCCCTGACTTTCTTAAGTATTCGTAAGTCATATGGAGGTTTCCTAAAATGGGGGTACCCCTGGTTATCATCCATTTATACAGTAGATGGACTTTCCATGAAATAAACCATCCAGCTATTGAGGACCTCCCATTTATGGAAACCTCTATAAAGCATATAAACATGTATAAACTATATATATATATCCACTAAACTCAATAAACTCAATAAACTCATATATCACTCATATATCACTCATATTCTTATTGCATAGCTGGCATAGCTCATCAACTCGCTCCCTGTCTGATATTTTTACGTCCGCCTTGCTGGGCGCGGCTTGCAGCTTCACGCGGGTCATCTCCATCTCCTCTTTGGCCTGGCGCGCCGGCTTTATGCGGGCCATCTCTTCGAATTTCCGGAGAATCTGTTAGGGAATATATATATATATTATATATATATATTATATATATAAGGGCTCAATGGTGTGTGATGACCCTTTCGAGGTTACCTTTGATGATTTTCATGAGATTGGACAGCTGGCCCCTGGACAGATTTGGGGTTGAATCAACTATTTCTTCAACCAGAAAATGGAGAATTGGCCGATTTGGATGGAATTTGTAACGAAAAATCGACAAAGACAGGATTCAGCAAGAACCAGTTTGGCTTTCACCCGCAAAACCGGTTTGGCTTTCGCCCACAAAACTTTGACCGAACGGCAACAATGACCACTTCACCAACAGGGCAGCGCACCTTGGGCAATTGCGCTGCCTTACGCATGAGATAAGCAACCCGGTGGTTGGTGCTCTGCTAACCGGAAATCAAAGGTGGCAATGGACAAGTACCATGTCAAATGAACAAAGCATTGGTATACATTGGTCATAGGTAAATGGAAATTCATAGATGTTGCATTGTTTGGATAGTTTTATGCATGAATAAGTTAACTGCGGCCTCAATCATATCCCAAGTAGACAAATCATCAAATGTGAACCCACCAACAAACTGGTGTTTTTCCTCCCTTTTGATGGCCAAAAATCACTTAGCCAACGTAGATGCCGTGCAAAAAAACGTCTATTGCTGGTGTTGATAGTCCAATTCTTCTTGGTTTCTATATGTTTCACGTCTATCCATTGATTTACCATAAATCAGCTAGATATAATATGTATATAGCTTGATTATGATATTGTAATCTATTATAGTATATAGTGCTATAAATGACAATGTATATATATATATACATTGTATATATGGTCCCGTCCTCCGTCTCTCCACCCCCCCATGGGTTGGGTCCCCAGGTAGCAGCCCCAATTCCCTTCTATTTGCAAGCTATTGGCAGCATTTCTGAGGTCCAGCTGCGTATTTGCTAGGTCTTTGCAGCATTTCTGACTACCAGCCTCGCATTTACTAGATACATGCTACCTTTTAGGCGGCCTACGTAGCACACATACTCCTTCAAAGTACCTACGTGCTACCTATAGTCATATATACCTAGACCTTCAAAAGGACACTTTTTTTTGCTCGAGGGAAATAATGCTCGTTTAAACAAATAATGCTCGTTTTAAGGGGGTCCAAAAAAAGTGCTCGTTTGAAGGTCCAAACACCATCACAAAACTCACATGGGGTGATTCTAATATATTCTAATCATGGGTGATCCCAAAATCATGGGTTTCAAATCTGAAAAGGTCTAATCTGGGATGATCTGGGGGTACACACATGTTAGAACAGCTCATACACCTCCACATGGCCAATCAGGAAACCCTCGCCAAGCACACATGCCTGATCAGGGAGCGCACACACTGACACTATTTCCTGCTCCTCCACTTGATTCCCCATCGGCGGGGAGTCTCAGTCAGCTAGCGGTGGTTCCGGGGGCAGTTGTTTGCCCATTCTCTTCTGTACATCATCAAAGTTCGTCTTAAAGTTCCAAATGCTAATTGAATAGCGTGGCACTTGCGTGCAGTCCTACAAACTCTCCCTATATAGCCCTCATCCGCCCAGGTCGCAAGACCTTAGTTGATTTTTTGTTTATGCCTATACCCCATTGGGATGTTGAAGGCTCAACAACAAAAGAAAATAAGTCCTCGACTCTGGGGGTTGAGGATCCATTGGGCGTTTTCTTTGGCCAGGGCATACTCCAAGTCGCGACTTAGCTCCCATCAAGATGAGATATCTAGGAATGGGGATTTGTACAGTGTTTGGTGAGTAAGGTTTACTGCCGCCATGGGTCACTACATGGGACATCATGTGCAGCTTTGGACGTACATACCACAAGCGCCACCCCAAAGAGGAGCTCAGCCGGGCACAGCCTCCATAAGCTTCCTTAAGTGCATGGGGGCCAAACCTATTAATTTGTTACATTTCTAAGCTCATATATAATACAGTTTTTGCAAGTTAGGCTCCAACATATTCCATCCATGTTCAACAGCTCGTATGGCTTCAGAACGGCTCAGCCATAGTTTGCCACAATAGATTGTCCGGAAAAAGCCATTGGTAGCATCGAGACCCCAGCGCATCACACGAAATAGTTCTTTGTAGTTGTCCTTAAACCACATCAAAAATCATAACGCTGGAACCCCACTAAATCCATAGTAGTGAAAAGTGAAAGTTGTTTGGTGATGATTCCAATTATAACGGGACCTTATTAATCTATTTTATAAGATCGGGACCCCATTAAAGTCATAATAGTGGAACGAACTTTTTGGTGACCCATGATTGTTGGATCTATTCAGTCCGTTGAATGGAACCCTATTCAATCGGAATCCATCTTTGGTGATCCATGATAGTGGGACCTTATTTAATATAATAGTGGAACCACACTTAGGGGATATTTTTTTTGGCGACGCTATTAAGCCCATAATGGTGGAACCCCACAATGGTGGATACACAAACTAGTGGAACACGATCTATAGTCAACGCAAAAAAAAATACCAATGTTTTTTGGTGGGACTTGTGATATGGGGAGTTCCATGGGCAGTTCACGACAGAAAAATACATATCTCAAACCAGGATACTGGAACCCCATCATCCGCTAGTGATCCCAGAAAGTGACCCATCCAAGCTCCCAGTAGAGCCGTGTCGAAGCCCTTGCCGAGTCCTCTGGGATACTCCTGCAACCTGGGACGAGCTGCGGCCATTCACCGGGGGCATGTCTGGTCCTAAAGTTTGAACATTCTGTGGCACCAGGGGCAAGCATTGATCAAGTAACGATGTGATCTTCAGGGTTTGGTAGTCAAAGGAGGTAATCGAAGTGGTCTTTTTGTTCACGATACACCAGTTGTTGAATGACTGGAAGGCGTTGTCTAGTTGATCTTCAATTTTACGACCACCAAATAGCAGGCATCGACAGGATAAGAACACGATAATGGATGCCAAGTCATCCTTTCCATATCCGCAGATTGCATAGGTGTGCGCAATGTCAATCTTGATCATGTAGGGATCATCCCCTCCTGGAACAATGTTGCGGATGGCAGCTTTATCACCTGTTTTAAACGGGGAATCCACTTCACCATCTTTGGGCCAGGATCGGATTGACGCAGAAGCACTAAAGTTGTACCAGTCCTTAACTGCTCCATTCCCTCAAAAGATAATATATAATATTTTTGGGGGGCAATGTCCACCAACAAAAAAAATAATCTAAGATTGATGCAAAGCTCACCCGCAGGACATCTGTGACAGATGCGATGGGATTTATACCCAGTCTCCAACCGATAGCAACTTCTCAACCAGGGCCAGTCCCCCTTGCACCCCAGGTACTGGATGTAGAAGGTTAGGCACTGTCCATTCAGATTCACCTGGCACAAGGGCAGCAGAAGATGAATAAAGTAATATTAGGTTTTTTAAACGGATAACTTATATGCAAACTAGGCACCTGGAAACCTTCGGTGTAAAGTTTGTTGATATTTTCAACCATGCTCTCCATCAGACATTGCAACGAAGCACCATCAGGGGCGTACATCTCCGCAGGGAGAACAGTGTACAACAACCGTGTAGTGTAAGTGTGCCTTGTCTGGATTCCAATCAATCAAGCAAAATATACATGCGCGTGCATATGTAAATTGTAAATCTTCTTTGGGGTACCCCAGAAGAAAAACACAACAACTATAATAAATATACTAAATCCAAAGTACTTTTTTGAGTTCACATTGTCGGCGCCGGTCCAACCAATGATTGGCTGAAAAGAAACCACTAGAAGGGGCCTTTTTGCTTGTCCCCGCCCTTCGTCCCCATGGACGAGAATAGGAATCGTCCTTGAAGGGATTGCTGGTTTGTTCCCTTCCACACTTGAGTGCTTCTCCCAGAAGTCAGAAAGCAGACTCTCTACTTCAACCAAGTTGTTGAGTTTTAATCCACCCAGGAAGTAGAATCCAGCGTATGGACTTTTGAACCCGGTTTCCAACCAATCTGCCAAGTGTAATACCGGCCAAGGCCTTTGTTGCACACGCCGTCGCCGGGACACCCGAATTGGTGTCAGCACTGATGTGATCCGGACACCCAGGGTCTTGTTCTTACGGTGAATGAGCCCATTAAGATTCCGACTGGCATTGGACAAATTCTTTTCCGATCGAGCATAGGATGCCATATCAGAAATTTTCTCATCATAAGCTCCTCACCCGTTTGGCATGGCACTGTTTGACAAATGATTTCCAGTATCAACAATGTCAGTAGCAAACATTAAGAGGCCTATGAGCCGAGATTCCATGTTTACACAGCAGCTTCTCCGTCTTCCGGGCTTGTTGGAGGACATCTTTGGCAGTTGCCTTGGGTTGACGAAGAAGGGAATTAATAACACATTAGCCATATGCTGGTACTACTCAGGCCGTATTCATGGTTCATTCCCTTTAATTTTAAAGCAAGGTACGCCCTTCGCATAACTGTCTATCATGGCATCGCAAAGATCATCAGACTCGGTGTCGGAAGCTGGGAAGCCTAAGTAAGTCATTGGGGACATCCAAAATAGTGAGAATAGATTGTTCACCAGAACTTCTTTGCAGGCAAGTAGCCCCTAGTTACAGTTCCATCTCGGTGACCTGGCAAAAAAAAGAGATCCCCATTCTTATTGCTCAAGAAAAAAGCAATGCAAATGCATAGCGTTGAGACAGGCTTAACACTGCATTTTTTCCCTCCGGTTCTGTTCGTACTGTCATCCTCAAAGCACATCATGAGAGCCATGGGCAACGCACCCCTTCTAGGAAACAACAGCGGGAATGGCATTTGAACAAAGAATTCATCGCTATGTTTGATTTGCATTGCAGCCATATGGCTCGTGGAGATGTGAGGTAACCCCCCGAACATGTATGATACATATTTCAGATCCAATCCAAAAACGGATTAACTTTTGGGCTCACCGTTTGTAGGCTCAGCCGTCTTGGGATCTTTTTTCTTGCCATGAGCCTTCTTGACCTTTGGCACTTTGGGAGTTTTGGCTTTTCCCTTACTTGACTTAGGTGACTTAGAAGACTTTGAAGCCCCATCACCCTTGGCACTGCTGCTCCGGGGGCCCTTCGGCTTCTCCGAGGCTGCGCTGGGATCCACTACTGACCTTGCTGCGGAGAGAGGTAGCAGGTACCAGAGGGTGGTTGGTTTGAAGATAGTAAAACATGTTATATGATATATATATACAATATATGATATACATGCGTATAGCTAATGACATTTAATGGAATACAAGTGGCTTTGCACGCTGAAGCATTCCATTCAGCGCCACGTCGAGTTTGGTGCACTGAACATAGTGCTTGTTGAGCTCATCCCGCTTGTCCCTTAGCTAAGTGGCATATGTGGGGAGAAGCGCGTAAGGGGAAAAATACATTGTACTACAGCAGGAAACCACTAGTGCTTCAAGGGGCGGTGTGATAGATTCTGGGTTCACCGTGGCTTCGGAGAGGAGTGTGGCCAGCTGGTCATAAAGAACTCTAAGGCCATCCAAGATCTTCTGGATAGAATCACGAATCCTGAGCATATGTACTGTTGGACATGGTTTATATAACATTAGTTATGACTCATGACATTTGTTCTTCAAACACTGCAGGTGAAATTCATCCCAGTAGCGACTTAGCCTGAGTAGACGCAATGGATGTCAACCGGTCCTGCGGCCGTACAGTTTCAAATCAATTTGCACGGGTCTATTTTGTTTTTCCTACATTCCTGCATGCGTATTTCTCAGTCCAGTTCTGCTTGGGTCTTGTCCACTTTGGTTCCCAATGTGGCAACGTACTGGGGCAAGACTTGGACCGGAGATCCATTCGACACGGGAAACGCCATCCTAAGTTTATAGACAAGTCTTACCATGACACCTCAGAAATTGAAAATCCTGAAGCTTTAAATGTTGTAAGCCATGCACTTATACCAAGGAACTTGAAACTCATCACACTCTTCCCCTGAACAACTGCCGCTGCGGTGGTTCCCTGGCTTGGGGCTCCACCATCACCACCCGACGGTGCCGTGTCACCAATGCTCGGAAGGTCCGACTCCAGAAGTGAGCCTGCCTCGTCCTGGAGATTGGCAACTGGTAGGAGGCTGGCAAAGTTTGGGCTATGAAAAGGGTTTGTATGAAGAACTTTTGACTTATGACTCACTCCTCAACCTGGAAAGATCCGCTGCGATTCGTCTCTTCCAAGTTAACATCCTCCAACTCATATGTCTCCGTCAAGATTACGTTGATCTCCTCTTCTCCGTGCACTGGGTTGCACCTGATTCGTTTGTGAGTCCTCGCCCATTCCCACGCCTTGTCGCACATCTTCCTTAGAACATGGAGCGATGATTGAGGGATCCCACTAGTCAGCACACAATGGGGGGCAATCAAAAACTAAGGCACGTGGATAAAACTCTATGGTAGTCTTGAGATGTGGGTCTTGCTCCAGTGCGCGTTCTTCTCAAGGAACCCTTTGGAATACCAACCTCCCTGTTGGGCCTTCTTCTCCGTTTTGATATTCTTCTTGGCAATTTGAATCTCAAGGGTGCCAAAGTCACCGTGTTCCTTCAGCAGTCGCTGGAGCTCTTTACCTTAGCGCGTGCTGGGTCTAGGAAGGTTGCATTGTTTGGCCACAATAGAATGAAGATGAGTGAACTTACCTGATATCAACCAGGCAGTATAACAGCTAATTCATGAAAGGGACGACCATCTGCAGTCTTATACATGGCCAGAGCATCCTTCGAGCACTTGAGCTCACCCCGTTTCGGTTTGAAGTAGCGACGAAGCCTTAGATGGATATATTAAGGTTAGCTTATAGTTTTATCAGAAACAAACATGTTGAAAGATGTCGAAAATGCATGTTGACGAACAATTTTAAACCTAGCCACTTCCAGTACGTTGGGGACTTTGACCTCTTGGGAGTCCCTGGGGCCGTCTCTTCTGGTGTTGTTGGTGCAGGATCGTCACCCTTCTCTGACGGGGCCACAGGTGGGACGGGCTGCGGGGCTTCCAAAACCGGTGCAGTATCACCCACGGGGGAAAAATCCATGGACTGTTGACGGGATTGGGCGTCTTGAAAGACAGACTTTCCAGACTCTGATGATGTGGCCAATGTCTCTGGACAAGTATCGGCCACACCAGCATTGAACTTTCCATTGTCCTGGCCAACATGCGGAGCACCTGAGTTAGACAGTGATAGCATGGCAGAAGGTATATATTATAAAACAATCCAAATATATAATGAATGACCCTTATATCTCTTTGGGTTTCCATGGGTGTTTCTTTAGCTGCCAACAAAGTCACCTGGTTCTGTCGGGGCTGGACCGGTCAATGAAGGCTGATTGGACAGCTTACGCCGCAAGGCTTCAACTCGCTCCCTCTTCACCTGAAGCTCGGGGCGAAGTATCATGAAGTATCCAGGAATGCTAAGGGCTGGGGATGGGATGGGATTGGCTAGTACCAACAAGGTTAAAAGCGTTGGCATTAGTCATTATATTTGAACCTTTGGATCCTGAAACTTAAGTTACACAAGGGCACCATCAATATGACATAAAGGCTCGCAGACTAGATACGATTTCCGATAAATGCTACTTCCATCATATGGGGATCCCGAAGGTTTTTATCGATAGAATTTTAAGATAAGTTTTGGTTTCCATCTAGTTTGAGACATGATATATGAAAGAATGTATAGCTGAGTTGCACGGATCATTTCCTCGAGTTCTTCTTTGCCGCGCTTGCGCGATGGGTCACCCTTAGCAAACTTTACAGCCTCCATTCCTTCCAGCAAAGTGCTAGAAGAAGCAAGTCGGGACATGGGTACAATGGGAATGCGATGGTGTCAACTTTCAGCCAAAAGGTCTCAGCAATCATTGTTATTTCAGTGGATGGTTCCAAACTTCACCAATTTGGAAACACTTGACCAACCAAATCAGAGCTTCAGAGCCGATAGGTTGCCAATCAAAATCCAATTGAAAAAAGTGAAAAGACCACTTTTTGAAATTGCGCGAAGTTGCGCGCTTTTGCGCCGGGTTGCGCGTATTTGCGCGCGTTGTTGCGCCTGTTTTTTTTCACATTTTTTTCTTCGAATTTATTCCCAAGCAGCAAAAGCTCGAAGAATTGCAACTATTGCCTAATCGACCCCGAAGCTTTCAACATGCTGCAATAAAATTTGAATTGGGGGCACTTGATGCCAGTTCCCGACTCAGTCGACCATCTCAGTAGTCGAAGCCGATGCATGCGACTGATCATAGCCCAGCACCTTCCCGTTTATGTTATAAGCATCGATCTATTATGAAACTTGGAACATGATATCGAATATTCAGTCCTGCCTGTTGCTCATAGTCTTTGAAGAATGTTTCCATGGTTGTTTTCCAATCGTCTGGAATCCTAGAGGGTGTGCCACTGGACAAAAACATAGAAGTATGATCCGACCCATGTAAACCATCCAGCAGAACAGGACCCCATTCTCCTGCATCGGGAAGATTCCACCAGGTACCGAAGTGGTCCCAACAAATCTGCATCCTCCCAAATGTCTCCCATAGGCAAAGCTTGGAATTGCTCCAAGGAAGTTCCATGTAATTGAATTTGTGGTTTAAACCGGAGATCCCTCCGCCCAACATTGCAGTCAACATGGTTTTGGTAAACTTCGAGAAGGCTGCGACCAAACTCATGTGTATAAGTCCTGGGCCGGGGGCTTTCCTAAAGCTGACGGGTTGTAATGTCCAACATGTGGATTAGTAGAATGGTTACTCAGTGGGTATCAGTCCATATGTTTTTCGAAAAACATCTGTTGGTGTTTCAGGGGCACCCCAAGACACAAAAGCGCAGCCACTAGTTGAGTAAGTAAAAATAGAACAGAAGCTTTTCAGGCCTGGGCCGGGGGTCTTTCCTAAGCTGTACCGATATATCAAACAGATCTATATAGATCATCGACCATTAGAATACGATAATATACCCTAATGCATCAGCTATAAGGTGCTATAAGGAATGTTTTTAAGCCAAGATTCTGTGACGCGCTGAGCCCAGGAGTGCCAACGAAGCGACGGCGACCTTGTCCATCCGTGTATTGTCCTCGGAAACAGGCTGGGGTCGGGGCTGGACAACCTTCAGGTCAACTGACACCCAAAATTTGGTATTGACAGGTAAGTGTCCAAATCCAGCTTAGCTACTAGCTGTGGTGTTGGTAGTACGGCGTTCCCTTTCTTCCTTTCGCAATGGTCCACGATACAGTTGGATGATCTCTGACATGTTGCTATAGCATACTGTTGGCTTCGCTGAGCCATGGCCATGTTGCATCATGAAGAATTTGCAATCATAGACCTCAGAAAAGATCCACATGACTTTCTGTTAGCATGGCATATAAGCTGCCAATATTCCAGCAAGTTGGAATGTCACATGTAAAAGCTGAGCTGAGACACCCAGGCCACAGTATTGATGAGCCATTCAAATCTTCGGTGCCGATAAAGCAATGATTCCCGAGGTTGTTCCAGAGTCCATACCAAGTTTCGGGAAAGCATGGCGAGAATCACCAGAGTCAGCCTTACGTTATTTTTTTCAAGTTTTCAAGTAAAACACATGCAGCATTCACCATGCCAAACTTCTCATACTAGTGCGTGTTATGAATTAACCAAGAAACCTGGATATCATTTTGTTTGCTCCCCTCACCCACTCCAAGGAAAGATTTCCAGCAACATTGATAAAGTTGCGACAGGAAGTCCCACGGGCTGGCACGCCCCAACTGCTGCAATCCGGCGCGAGGTGTCCATAACCATCTTCTACCATTTGAAGCACTACCCATAGTACAAGCCTTGGCAGCGGGTGAGATGGTGGAAGGTTGAAAATGGAGAAGTCGTTGTCAATAAGACCTGCTAGTATATTATATACTATATGATGTCGTATTTGCATATCATATGATTGTCTATGTCGTATTCATATGATATGGTACCGTCATATTCCCAAACAGAGTTGTAATAATATACATGATATGGTGTGTAATATTCCCATGCAGAAATAGTTACGTACAATCAAACATGCACCAAAGAATCTGACAAAACACAGGAAACCGGCATCGGTGTTGAAGTCCATCGCTCTTGAAAAGTCTCGGTCATATGAAGCACATCGGTATCCTGCATCGTGCCTAAGTTGTGTTAGACAGATAGCCCTATAGTGATCCCTACCTAGTGTGTGAAATCAACGCATGCGTGCATGACTCGAGGTTTGGATTTGGAGCCTCGGGCGTGGACATCACTTCTGTCAAGGCTTGTCTCCCGGCAAAGACTTCCAGGAAATCAAAAGAGGGCGATACCCCCGGCTGATCCATCCATCCAAGTAGCAACACCTCAACTAGAATCACCATTGTGGATTCCTTTAGAAGCTAGCATGCAAAGCATGGTTTAAGGCTGCAGTCAAGGCCCACACCAGTGCTATGAGCACCTTGGGAACTGATGTTGGGGGTTGCGGTTGCTATTCGGATATGTTTTTACAGCATGCAACAGTTCCGAATCTAAGTCGCTGTCCTTGGGCGATTGGACATGTTGAAGGTTGATCACAGGATCAAACGGCATGGCTTTGCAAGACGCAGGGAACAAGAGCCCGTATTGTCCAGCCCCACAGGCAAAAAGACTTTGAACCTAAAGGTGAAAAAGGTAAAGTAGGTCTAGGTTACTACCGCAACAGATGAAAAGAATTTGCGATAATGCCCCATATCCCCATGCATCAAATCGAGCCAGGCGAAACCTGCTAGAGAAGCTGCCCTCACCCAGTTGCCACCTCCACGTTGACGAGGCATCCATCACCTGGCGGTATGGGGATGGTAGCAAGGTAACTAGATGGAAATTTAAGCTATCACGCCAAAGCGTTGGATCACTTGGAAGGAAGCCGCTAGGCAATCATTTCTCTTGTTGGTGCTCAAGGATTGTGCATGGGATGTTCGCCCACTGCAACCGACGCGTAGCACAACACAATCCGTATGGAAAATATTGTGACGCAAACCCGATACCCCTAAGATCCATCAAAAGGAACGGCCATGTTCGTCACGGCCGTGGTGCGTAGCATCAGCCAAATCACTCCGTGTTTGCGTAGGCCTCAGATGGTGGAACCATCTGGAACTGAACCATGTGGAAATATGTGGAACAATGTGGAACCATAAGGAGGGGCCCATAAGAGTCAAAGATAACCCGTACCCAAATCAAGATGTCAAACATGTGAACCATTGCAAAGGCCAAAAGTACCAGTTTAAAAATATCTCAAAATAGGATGAATCCCAAATTTTATTCTATTTTGAACGCTCCCTATTTGAGACATTACTTTTTTTTTTTGGTTTGGCCCAGCCACCTCTTTGGCCAATGCCGTGGCCTCCTCTGCACTTTTCCCTGCAGCGAGAGCCCGCTTCTTCGCCACATGGTAGGCGGATGATCTGCGAGATAATCGCTTCTTTCTCTCCGTAGCTGGATCCACAGCAGGTGCGGCCTCAGTGCCACCTAGTGCAGAAGCCACTGCTCCTGACTCTGCAGCAGCTGTCTTGACCTTGCGCTTTCTCTCTGGGGCCTTTGTCTGGTCTGATGTCTTTGCCTTGCGTTTCTTCTTTGCATCCTTTGGCTCTACCGGCTCTACCTCCTGTTGGTCAACCTTCTTCCTAGATCTCTTCTTTGTGCTCTTCTCTTCGGAATCTTTGGCCTTGCTTGCTTTGTCTGAGCCCTCAGAACTCTTTGCAGTCTTGGCAGGACCTTTGCTAGTCCTTGACTTTGGCTTCTCTGTGGGTGTCAAACTATGGCTACTGTCTGCCTTGCTGTCATCAACATCATCTTTGTCGCCCTTTTTCCTGGAAGACTTTGCTTTGGACTTTGCTTTGGACTTTGGCTGCCTTTTCTTCTTGGGGAGTGCTGCTCGTTGCTCAGCTGGTGAAATTGGCTCCAAAGAGTCTAAGACCGCAGGACGTGGAAGTGCTTTCGAAGATTCAATTCCATCCCCTCCATTATCAGTACCATGTTTCCCCTCATCTCCACAGCCTCCCTCATGTTCCGTCCCTTCTCCCACGGGAGGTGCCGCCAACGCATCAAGCTCAAGGAGGTCAATGTCCATGGGCAGCGTCTCCACGTTGTCAGGACCTGAGAAAGACAGTCAATATTAGGGGACGGCTGATATGGGCAAAGATTTTTTTTTTACAAATGGGTCTTAGATCGATTAAAAGACATGGGGTTAGAATCTGATGATATGATTTGAAATGGTGATATAGAGTATGATAACATTGGTTTAACATAAAAACAGCTGATATTTTTTTGAATCTAGGTGCTCACAAGTTGAGCTTGCAGGCTTGGAGGTAATGGAGGCGGCATGTTCTTGGCATCATCCACAGAACGTCCATGGTTCTGGGGGGTGGCTACAAAGCGGGACCAATAATTCACGTAGATTTGTTTGGCTTCCGGTTCCAAAGGAAGAATTTGGTCAGGGTCGTCCTTGGGCCCAGTAGATTTTCCACAAGCAGCCTTCTTGACCGGGGGTTCAGCGGCATCAGTCAAAGCTGCCGACAAAGACCGCTTCACCGTGGTTGTGGCACCATCCTTCTCTTCAATCTCCGCACGGTCACGTTCATGCTGTTCTTCAGTGGATTCCTTGATGGCGCGTTCCAACATTTGTTCCTCAGTCATGTATCCCTCAAGTTCTTCTATTTGTTCTTCTAGCTCAGCTAGTTCTAAAGCTTCTTCTTGAGCTAGGACATCCTGGTAGGCAAGTTCCGCTTCCAAATTCCCCAACAAGGCCAGTTCCATGTCAATTTGGCGCTGGAGTTCCCCAGCATCAGTGGTAGGAATTGGTACT